GGTTGCGCGAGCTGGGTGGAGAGAGCAGACGCGCCTGCCTGCCTGCGCAGGGGCGCGGTGCGAGCCTCGGGGCAGCGCACTCGGCGGCGCGCGTGCGGCACGGCGCAGCGGCAGGCGCGGCGGGCGCGGCGGCGCCTCGCCTCCTCGCCGTCTTTGCTCCGGTAGCTCAGCCGCACACCCTGCCCCTCGTCGCTGTCAGCGGGCTCCATGTCCCACTCAACCTTGTCGTACCCCACCTTGCCTCCTGCAGGACTGGGCTGCCCGGCACGCAAGCCAATCAGCAACGCTGGTGCCGGCTGGTGCGCTGGTGCGCGGGTGCGCGGGTGCGCAGCGCATCGGCTTTGGGGCGGCTGCACAGGCTGGTGGGCGGGTCCAGCGCTGGACGCAGCAACAGGATGCGGGCGCAAGCGCCACAGGCAGCTGCTCCCTTTCCAGTACCATCGATCTGCCCTGCCCCTGAGGCGCACCGTGCAGGCAGTTGGGGCCGTTGTTGGCAGCCAGGCGGTACGTCTCGCCATCCAGGCTGAACTGCGCGCCAGCAATGCGGTTGGCCACGCGCCCCACTAGGGCGCCCATGTAGGGCGAGGTGCCGTCCTGCAACACCCAGGGAGCAGCAGGGACGGGCAGGGGTGCATGTGTGCGTGATGGCCTGGGTAGCCGTGAACCGAGGTGCCTTGCCCGCCGCCGCCGCCGCACCCGACCTTGTATGGCGCCTCCTCATCGAATCCCAGCACCACGTCCTCCACATTGCCGTCCGTGTCCGGCACCCGCAGGCTCTGGATGATGGCCCCCCGGAGCAGCACCACCACCTCCAGGCCATGTGGGTTTCGAAGGGTGATCGAGCCGCCCATCGCGCCTTCGCGGGATGAGGACCGGGCGCTAGGGCGCAGCAAAAAGATCAGGAAGGCGGCAGCCACCGCTCCCGCCACCAGGCGCCTGCTGCCGAGAAGTCGCTCCGACAAGACTGCAACGAGCTGCCTGTGCGCCAACGATGCTGGCATGAATGGCGGAAGTGAAGCGGCAATCGGGGCAGGCTTGGCTGGATTGGCGCCAATGCCGCAGGTACAGCTCCCGTCCGCCGCGGTGGCCGCTATGTACTGCCCTGGCCCCCTGACCATTTTTTTTTTTTTTTGGTGTTGCATCAAAGAGTGCTTGAATTACAGATGTCGGCAGGCTGGAAAGCAGATGAATGAACGGAAGGGAGCAGGTGGCGTCAGGGACCTTCAGTTCCGAGGAATCAAGATCAACATTTCAATCAGCGGTGCGACTCTCTCACAGTGTGCGGCAGGCGAGCAAGGCAAGTGGGCAGGCGAGCAAGGAACAGTGCGGCACATTCAGCTCGGCATTTCAGTGGCAAGGCAACGCGGGGCCAGGGCGGCTGCCAAGTGCACCCGCCGCCGCCGCCGGGCGGGAGCAGCATGGCCTCTTGTCCGCGGGTCAGAAGATCTTCTTGCCTGTGGCCCCAATCCACACAGCATACGCCAGCAGGCCGGTGGCAATCATCTGGGTCCAGTAGTCGAGCGTCTGGGCATTGGCAGGCGTGGCCACGCCCAGCAGCGCCCGCGCCTGCACTCGCAAGGGACGGCACGCGGCGGGGCAGGTTGGTGTGGGAGTGCGGTATTGGGGTGAATAGGGCGGACCAGGTGGGACAAGGCCGCTGCTGCGCCCGACAGGCGCTGCGCCCCAGTAACCCGCCGCGGCAGCCAGGCGCCGCATCCGCGCCGCCAGGCACGCAGCTCCGGGCACTGGCCGGGCAGCCAGGGGCTGGCAGGGTAGGGGCTGGCAGCCCACAGGGCAGCCGCCTGCCACACGTCGTCCAACTCTCTCAGCAAAGAAGCCGCAAAAAAAGGAGCTGCAAAAGGGGAGCTGCAAAAGGGGGGCTGCAAGAAAGCAGGCTTGCCTCCTCGATGTGGTATGCATACAGGGCATAGACGGTGGCCATGACCAGGATGATGGCGCGGGTGGAGGGCGGCACCGGGGCGGTGCGCGCCGCCGCCTCCACGCTGCGCTTGGACTCGCCCATGGCCTGCAGCAGGCGGCAGAGGGCGCGGCGGCAGGGGAGGAGGTTTGCTTGGAGGTGGGGAGCAGGGGAGGGCAGGAGCAGGCAGGAGGTGTCGTCTCCATTGCTGCTGCTTGGAAAGGAGAGTGTGGGGTGGGCGGGGTACACGGCGTGTGGTGGTGGGGGCGGCGGAGAGGGCAGGCTGACGGGCTGGCCTGCTGGCAGGCAGCAGGAACCAGCGCAGCAGGGCCCGGCGAGGCGGGGAGCCCAGGGGGCGCCCTGCCGCCGCTGCCGCCGCACCTCGAGCCGCTTCACGCAGTCGGCCTCGATCTTGCGGCACAGCTGCACCGTCTGCTGCTGGTTGGGGTCGCCGCCGGCCTCCTTCTGCGGCGGCGGGGGAGGGCAACAGGAAGCAGGAGGGTGGGCCGGGCTCGTCACGAGGCCAGGCGCGCGAGACGGCACGGGCCCGAGGAAGCAAGGAAACACACAGGTTGCCAGTCGCCAGTGTCCGGCGCAGCAGCACACACGCGTTTGGCGCTCGCGGCTGGCAGCAGCTGCCGCGACGCCT